CCAGACTTGGGTTTACTTGAGCAGCAACTTGCTTGCCGTTCTTCTTGAAGTTCCCCTTTCTTCCCTTTGTCCCTTTACTTGAAACTAGTGGTTTTGTTTACCATCAACACTTGATTCTTTTCTTGATTTCTATCTTCGTCGATTTAAGCATCGCGAAGAGCTTGGGAATCGTTTCTGTTATCCTTGCATATTATAGTTCATCACGAAGTTCTACTAACTTGGTGATGGTGACTAGAGAATTCTGTCAATCACTATTTTATCTGGAAGATTAACTCCCACTTGATTCAAGCGATTGTAGTACCGAGACAATCTGAGCACATGCTCACTGCTTGAGCTATTCTCCTCCATCTTTTAGCTATAGAACTTGTTGGAGACTTCATATCTCCCAACTCGGGTATTTGCTTGAAATATTAACTTCAACTCCTGGAACATCTCATATGTTCCATGACGTTGAAAACGTCTTTGAAGTCCCGATTCTAAGCTGTTAAGCATGGTGCACTAAACTATCAAGTAGTCATCATATTGAGCTAGCCAAACGTTCATGACATCTGCATCTGCTCCTGCAATAGGTCTGTCACCTAGCGGTGCATTAAGGACATAATTCTTCTGTGCAGCAATGAGGATAAACCTCAAATCACGGATCCAATCTGCATCATTGCCACTAACGTCTTTCAACTTAGTTTTCTCTAGGAACATATCAAAAATAAAACAGAGGAGCTAAACGCGAGCTATTGATCTACAACATAGATATGCACTATTCCTTTCTGGAGCACAGGTTTTATTTTAGTTCAAGTCACCAGATATGTCTTTTTCAAAGCATGAACATGTTTGTTGTTAAAACATTCAGATTCCTTTTCTTTTAGTTTAATATATCGACACGTCCATTTTGCATCATGTTTTCTTAATGTTATTTATGATGTTTTTATCCATAATAATGCTTTTTGGAGTAATTCTAATGCCTTTTCTCAAGGTATACACAAAGAGGGAGAATTCCGGCAGTTGGAAATCTGGACCTGGAAAAGCTACGCCAGGCCACCTATTCTGCACAACTCCAAACAAGCTGAAACTTCACAGATTTTTTTATCAAATATATGATGAATATTGGAGCAAATAACTACCAGAGGGGGCCCCAGGCGCGCCCTGGTGGGTTGTGCTCACCCAGGGCCACCTCTGATGCCCATCTTCTGGTATATAAGTCATTTTAACCTAGAAAAAAATAAGGAGAGGACTTTCGGGATGGGGCGCCGCCGTCTCGAGGCGGAACTTGGGCAGGAGCACTTTTGCCCTCCGGCGGAGCGATTCCCGTGTACCCTCAAGAACACTTTGCTTATCATAAGAAACCGTTTTGGCCTGTCATTTGCCTCAAAAGGATTTGGCTACCTTGTTGAATTTTTGTTACTACTATCGTTACTTGCTCGTTACAAATTATTGCTATCAAACTACTCTGTTACTGACAATTTCAACACTTGTAGACATTACCTTACTGAAAACCACTTTGTCATTTCCTACTGCTCCTCGTTGGGTTCGACACTCTTACTTATCGAAAAGAGTTACAATTGATCCCTTATACTTGTGGGTCATCATATACCCACTTGATAACATGTGGCTCGGGGGGCTAAAACGCCTTTTTCTATTTGATTTTCGATGAGAACGTAGACATACACTCACACCGCCACACACACATGCTTACACCACGCGCCTGCTAAAGAACAGGTCGGAGTTGTGCCACCTTGTCCGGGCTGGGCTAAACTAAAATAGGAATGGCTCATTCATCGATGACGGGTCTGTTGGTGCGGGCATGGTGCTCAGAGACAGTATGGGCAACGTTAGTTTTCTCCTCGTGTAGGAATTATTCTCTTGCAGAGATGTTGTGGAAGTGGAGTTGTGTGCATTCATGAAGGGTCTTCCCCTCACGTTGCAAAGAAGTGATCTTCCATTTATTATCGAGATGGACTCTAATGTTGCAGTCAAGCTTGTTTAGGCTAAGGAAGTTGATAGATTGTTTTTCTACTCTCTTGTTATAGAGATCGGGCATCTTATGCGGCTTCGTGATTCTTGTATTACTCATGTGTGTCACTCTCAAAATATGGTTAGTGATAGTTTAGCTAATTTCACTCGAATTGAAGGAGAGCCATGACCTGGATTGGTTCTGGCCCTGATGAATCTATACAACTAGTTGCCAATGACTATAAGGATATTATGAGTTGAGTAATACAAGTTATTTCACCCGCAAAAGAAAATGTTTGGACATTCAGAAAAGTTCATGGATTTGAAATAAGTTTGTGAATGTGAAAAAATTTCATGAATTCAAAAAGAGTTCATGAATTTTACAAACGTTCACAGATTTGAGAAAAGTTCATGAATTTGGAAAAAATGCTCATACATTTTAAATAATTTGAAATTTGAAAAATATTGTGAAATTGATTTTTTGTGAATTTAAAGAATTTTCATGTATTTGAATTTTTTGCAATTTTTTAAAATATTATGAATTTCATCTTTTTATGAATTCAGCAATTTGACATTTTTTTTATGAATTCAGCCAAACAAACACATAGAAAAAGCCAGCAATAATAAAAGCACTAAAAACCGGCGATAAAGATCCCAAAAACAAAGGGTTACCTGGGTCGGCTCATGGGAAGCACACATGGGCGCCGCATACGTTTTTTTTGAAAGGTTACCTGATGTCTACTACACAACCTTCTTCTTGTAGACGTTGTTGGGCCTCCAAGTGCAGAGGTATGTAGGACAGTAGCAAATTCCCCTCAAGTGAATGACCTAAGGTTTATCAGTCCGTAGGAGGCGTAGGATGAAGATGGTCTCTCTCAAACAACCCTGCAACCAAATAACAAAGAGTCTCTTGTGTCCCCAACACACCCAATATAATGGTAAATTGTATAGGCGCACTAGTTCGACGAAGAGATGGTGATACAAGTGGTATATGGATGGTAGATAAAGGTTTTTGTAATCTGAAAATATAAAAACAACAAGGTAACTAATGATAAAAATGAACGTAAACGGTATTGCAATGCGTTGAAACAAGGCCTAGGGTTCATACTTTCGCTAGTGCAAGTCCTCTCAACAATAATAACATAATTGAATCACATAACTATCCCTCAACATGCAACAAAGAGTCACTCTAAAATCACTAATAGTGGAGAACGAACAAAGAGATTATGGTAGGGTACGAAACCACCTCAAAGTTATTCTTTCCAATCAATCCGTTGGGCTATTCCTATAAGTGTCACAAACAGTCCTAGAGTTCGTATTAGAATAACACCTTAAGACACAAATCAACCAAAACCCTAATGTCACCTGGATACTCCAATGTCACCTCAAGTATCCGTGGGTATGATTATACGATATGCATCACACAATCTCAGATTCATCTATTCAACCAACACATAGAACCTCAAAGAGTGCCCCAAAGTTCCTACCGGAGAATCACGACGAAAACGTGTGCCAACCCCTATGCATAGGTTCATGGGCGGAACCCGCAAGTTGATCACCAAAACATACATCAAGTGAATCACGTGGTATCCCATTATCACCATAGATACGCACGGCAAGACATACATCAAGTGTTCTCAAATCTTTAAAGACTCAATCCGATAAGATAACTTCAAAGGGGAAACTCAATCCATTACAAGAGTGTAGAGGAGGAGGAGAAACATAAGATCCAGCTATAATAGCAAAGCTCGCGATACATCAAGATCGTATCACCTCAAGAACACGAGAGAGAGAGAGAGATCAAACACATAGCTACTGGTACATACCCTCAGCCCCGAGGGAGAACTACTCCCTCCTCGTCATGGAGAGCACCGGGATGATGAAGATGGCCACCGGAGAAGGATTCCTCCTCCGGCAGGGTGCTAAAACGGGTTTAGATTGGTTTTCGGTGGCTACGGAGGCTTCTGGCGGTGGAACTTCCGATCTATTGTCCGTTCTAGAAGTTTTAGAATACATAGGTATATATGGGTGCAGGAAGTACGTCGGTGGAGCTTCGGGGGCCCCACGAGGCAGGGGCGCGCCCCCACCCTCGTGGGCACCTCCCTTCTCTCTTGACGTGGGGTCCAAGTCCATCCGATAGCTTTCCTTCAAAAAATAACTTCTCCAGTTGATTTCGTTCCGTTTCGACTCCGTTTGATATTTGTTTTCTTCGAAACACTGAAATAGGCAAAAAAACCCAGCAAATCTGGGCTGGGCCTCCGGTTAATAGGTTAGTCTCCAAAAAAATATAAAAGTGGATAATAAAGTTCAATATTGCCCAAAACAGTAGATAACATAGCATGGAGCAATCAAAAATTATAGATATGTTAGAGACGTATCATTGCCTCATGACATTTTATTGAAAAGTCAATAGGATTACACCGTTCGGTACATGATGCAGCAGAAATCAGGAAGGTCAAGTTTAGCCAAGTGATGTGCCACCTGATTCACTTCTCTTGAGACATGTTGGAAAGAAACTCCATCAATCATCTAAGCTCGAGTAAAGCAATCTGAGAGGATCACTGTATAAGGACCAAGCACCTCCATCTCTCCTCTACATAACTCGATGATCTCCAGAGAGTCTGATTCAATGATGACACTCGTAGAACCCAGGTACTCTAGGAGGTCAATACCTTTTCGAAGCGCAACTGCTTCCGCAGTAGCCTCATCAAGGGCAAGAGACAAATGGCTTGCCGCATCAGTAATTGTTTATCCAATGCTGTTTCGAAGAATAACTCCCACAACTCCGGTTCCATTATGGGTGCTGCGTACGTTTAAGGCACTAAATGGCGCGTTAAGCGCCGAATAGGTACCCGAAGCCTAGTAGACAAGTTGGCCCAACCCGTCAGTAGTCAGCCTAAAGGCCCAATTCCAAGATTAGTCCAAACCAAAACCCAATCTCCAAAAAAAGAAGTCCAAACCAAAACCCTCACCTCGTCCTCCCCTTCTGCCGTCGCCGCCAGCGCCAGCACCTCCTCCTCCCCCCGCCCCCCGCCCCCCGCCCCCGGTCTCCGATGGCCGACGCACCGGAGCAGCCTACGCCAGACCCACCCACACCGCCGCAGGAGGCTATCCAAAGGCCTAAGAAAAATAAGAAAGGCCGCAGGAAGAAGCCGAAGAAAGCCGCCGCCGCCGCTGCCGCCCCCTCCTCCTCTGGCGCCACCATGGTCGAGGATCCCTTCCTCGTCCTCGCCGGCGGCAAGGAAGGAGGTAACGAGCTGACTTTCCAGTACTGGGCTCCACCTTGGTTCGGTTTGTCTCTGTGATTACTGACGTGTGTGGGGGATTCGGCGCAGGGTTCCTGGAGCTGGAGGAGATCGACGGGGCCGACTTCGGGATCTTCGGGAGCTTCGTGGAGGACGTGGGAGCAAGTGAGAAGAAAGCGTGGAATGACCAGAAGAAGAAGAAGAAGAAAAAGAAACGCAAGCGAGGGGATGCCAAGCGCTTGGATGGGGATGTAGGCGGCGATGGTGATGGTGATGGCGATTGTGCAGGCGATTTGGTAGCTGAGAGCGAGGAGGAGGGTGAGAAGGGTGAGAATAAAAGAAAGAGGAAGAAGAGGAACAAGAAGAAGAGGAAGGTGAAGGATAATGATTCAGAGAGCAAGGAGGACGTTGCTGATGACAATGTGGAAGGTGCTTAGCTTCTCATTTTCAGCCTGTGGCTTCGGACCATTTGCTTTTGTAGCTCTTAGACTGTAGTTTTGCATTCTTTGCTTTGTTGTGCTTCTGTTAGCTGTGATTTGCCAAATTTATAGTTAAGAATACTGTTGTGTGCTTCCAGATATGCAAGATGACATTGAAAATATGGAACAAGACAACAAAGAGGAGGTGAAATTGGGTGAGGATGAACTTTATGCGTGGCTAGAGCTAAGATTGCATCCCCTTCTTATCAAGGCAATGCACAGGCTTGGGTTCAATGAACCAACACCTATACAGAAGGCTTGCATTCCTGCAGGGGCTCACCAAGGCAAGGTTTGTCAATGTTAACTCATAGGCCACTGGCCATTGGCTTTTTCTACATGAAAATGGTGACGCTATTCTTACTGAAAATATGGTCTTGTTCTTATGCTTGTTGCTTTCATAAAGTTGCCTAATGGATATATTATTGTATTATATACTGGTAGTGCTATTTTTCGTCCCTCTTAGTTAACTAATTATTAATCAAAGCTTTTAAAATCGCTCCAGATGAAACCTTAGGTCTTTTAACTATGCTCTTGTATAATTTTTTACACTGCAACAGGATGTTATTGGAGCAGCTGAGACAGGTTCTGGCAAGACACTTGCTTTTGGTCTCCCTATTTTGCAGCGCCTTCTGGAAGAACGAGATAAGACCACAAGATTACATGTAGAAGATGAAAAAGTGGCGGAGGGAAGTTCTACAGGAGGCCCACTCAGAGCACTTATTTTGACACCCACCAGAGAACTTGCCAAACAGGTATAAGAATGACCTAACGTAGACCAATTTACATTTGGCGTGGAATTTAATTGTTTGATGATGCTGTAGCAGCGCAGCTATAAATCTATGGTCTCCATCCTATTGCTTTTTTTTTTGTGAATGACCATCCTACTGCCCTTAGCGCTTAATTGGGTTCAAATTTCCCTAGCTTATTCAGTTTGAATTCTGAATGTCATTGGTCCTGTAATTTCTTCTGTGCAAGCTTTCACCTCTATTCAAATGAGGTACTATGTGTCACCCACTCATTCTTATGTTATTATTCTTATTTAAAGGTCTGTGATCATCTAAAAGAAGCAGCTAAGTTCTTAGGAATTCATGTTGTTCCTATCGTTGGTGGTTTATCCATGGAAAAGCAAGAACGACTTCTGAAAAAGAAACCTGAAATTGTTGTTGGAACTCCAGGAAGATTATGGGAGCTAATGTCATCAGGCAATCAGCACCTAGTTGAGGTTAGTATGTGAAGTCTGAAAGCATATGTCAAATTGTTAGCGTGCATTTTGGCATTTCTGTGTATCAACATACACCATTCATACCCCTTGGATTGCAGTATAGAGAATAATAAATTAAATATTATCAGCAATCATAAGCTAATCTGAAATTGACTGTTTCGCACGAGTGATAACAAATGCCCAACTTCCATGTACAAAATTTTGTTACCGCATTGCAGCCGGAAGATTCCCATCACTGGAAACTAGAAGAAAATGCACACTTACTAGATTCACCTTTTTTCTGTTTGTGCAAACTGCAAACAGAAAGCCAGGCTGGCATCTTTAGTCTGGAGAATGCTGGTTTACCTCCCAAGATAAAGAAAACTTCTATTTGATGGAACCCAGTGATCTCTGGTTGAACGGACCTAACCTATATCTGATGGTTATTACTGCTATTTTGGACTTCTGGACAAATGAACCCAATAGTAAACTGAACTCATTTTATATATTTCAGAAGAAGAGAGAATGAGTGTATAAATTTGGCATATTCTACTTATTGCAGTTGTCATTTTGTGGTTATTTTATGTTGAAGACATGGTGCTAACTGTCACAATATTCTGTTTTTATCACTCAGCTGCATTCATTGTCATTCTTCGTGTTGGACGAGGCTGATAGAATGATAGAGCGGGGTCATTTTAAAGAAGTGCAATCTATCATTGAGATGCTTCCATTATCCAATAGTTCTGATGAGCAAACTGTAAAAGCCACATCAAGCTGTGAAACTGTGGCAAATTTGCAAATAAAGAAGAGGCAAACCTTTGTCTTCTCAGCAACGCTTGCACTTTCAGCTAATTTTCGCAAGAAGTTGAAGCGTGGGCTTTCTACTTCAAAGGCATCGACGGCTGATGATCTTAGTTCTATTGAAGAACTTTCGAAGCAGGCTGGTATGAAACCTAATGCAGAAATAGTTGATTTGACAAATGCTTCGATCTTGCCGGAGAAACTTGAAGAATCATTCATCGAGTACGCCTTCTCTTCTTTTTGTACTTCTGTTATTATGGCCACTGTTTTTTTTTGGCTTGTATTTTATGAAAAAATTATAGACAGTTTGACACTGAAAAAATCATCGCTTGTTTTGCAGGTGTAGTGATGATGATAAGGATGCCAACCTTTATTATATATTGAGTGTTCATGGGCAAGGCCGCACGATAGTATTTTGCACATCGATTTCTGCACTGCGTCACATTTCTTCCTTATTACGCACTCTTGGAATAAATGTCTTGACAAATCATGCTCAAATGCAACAAAGGGCTCGCATGAAGGTGATTTTCTCCCATAAACTATACACGATACTTACATTTAACATTTGTTAAGCTTTTGGAATTATCATTGAGTTTAGATTTTATCTGTTATATACTTATATGGTTATGGCCAGAATTCCTGTAACCCGCACAATCCGGTACACATATGAAAGTTATGCCTTCTATTGGGACATGCACTCTCATCTTTGGATGTTGCTAACAGTAAGTAATGCACTAATGTTTGTCTAAAATTATCAGTTAATAACTGACTCTGGGATAATAGGATGCTTTACTTTTCTTTTCAAGTTCTATGATGATGTATGTATTTTTTTTTGTTCTTGCTTATCTTACATTGACTCATATGACTGGTTATATCCAAATAAAGTTAAGCACTTCCCATATATCCTTGTTTAGCTTTGCCTTCTGTAACATAAAGCGTTGAGGTTTTTCTGTGTTCATTCAGGCTGTGGATCGTTTCCGTGAAGGCGAGAACTCCGTTTTGGTCGCGACTGATGGTTTTGCAAGGGGCATGGACTTTGATAATGTTCGAACTGTTATCCATTATCAACTGCCACACTCAAGTGATGTAAGTGCACTGTTTATTTCTCAAACCTATACTTTCCTAGATATGGACCAAACTAACTGAGTTATTCAAATTCTTGTTTGTCCCCTTAGGTTTATATCCACAGGAGTGGAAGGACAGCGCGTAAATCATTGACTGGCTGCAGTATTGCATTAATCTCCCCTGCTGACAAAGCCAAGTTTTACTCTCTTTGCAAGTCATTTTCAAAGGTGATTTATTTCAGGTGTATTCATACATTAAATATTACTGCATACGCGGCATATTCAATCTCTCATGGCTTGTTATAACTGATCTTTTTGGCCACCGTTTCCGATATGTTATTTCATAGCCGCGCACTTCTATTTTGCACCTGTTGCTACATCTGCACTTCCATCGCTGTCAAGTCTCAGCCACTCAGCGTGGTGCATAATTTTACAATGGTTATTTCTCGGATTAAGCTGACTATAACCATTGATTAAAAATCACAGGAGAACCTGCAGCAGTTTCCTGTTGATCAGGCCTACATGCCTGCAATAATGAATAGGCTCTCCCTTGCTCGGCAGATTGACAAGATATCAAGTAAAAGTTCAAAGGCAAGGGCTCTGGTTACATTTTCAGTCATATTCTTTGGTCATTTCTAACACGTATGGATTAACCACTGGCCTCTGGTTAAAGTTAGGTCATGTTTGTCTACGCTCTGATTTTCCTCTGCTTTTCAGGAAAATGCTAACAAATCCTGGCTTCAGAGGAATGCTGAATCCATGGGTTTGATATTGGAGGCTAGTGACAGCGAGGAAGAACGTGTACGGGGCCACAAGCAACGAAAGGCGACTTCGGCACAGCTCCAGAAACTTCAGCAGGTTTGAATGATTATGATGATTATATTAGGCTTATAGGGTTAAATTATCGCTAAACTAAACTATTTGTAGGTGTTCATGATTTTTACAATGTTTACCTATCTGGCCCGTATGTAAACATATTTTCCTTTGAATCACAGGATTTGAATGAACTCTTGCAACATCCCTTGCAGCCTAAGACATTCTCACGCCGCTATTTGGCCGGGGTTAGTTTTCTGTCATGGAGTAAATGTTATGGATCGATTATGGTATCCTAACCTCACTAGAGTGTCTATTATGTGTTCACTGACTTCAACCATCAATTTATTCAGGCTGGTATTTCACCATTGCTTCAAAAGCAACTAGAAGAGTTGTCCAAAAGGAATGTAAACAGTAATAGCAGTAATGACAATAATAAAGGATCGCGGTTTGTTATTATTGGCCAGGATCGTGTGGAACCGTTGCAAGCTCTTCAAGATTCTGGGCAAGAGGTTAGGTTTCTATAGACTATTTACGGTATTCATAACCAGAATCAAGTTTGTATCTTGTGTATGTACTTGATACATTAGTTGCTTTTGTTTGTGTATGTAGTTCATATATTAACTGCTTTTAATTTATTCTGTCAGATTTGTGTGAACATGGACAAGCAAAGGGAGAAGAGAAGACTTGCTGAGAATTGGAGGCGAAAGAAACACGAAGAGAAGAAAAGTAAACTTTTATCATCCTTTTCTTATATTTCACCTTACTTGCAGTCAGATGAATATTGGATGTAACCTGCCTCTGACCAAGTCTTTACATTTCAAATATCCCCTTAACTATATTTACAATGAAAAACAGTACATACATTATACAGGCAGAGCACACCCACCTTATAATTACCGTCTTCTAATTTCAGGCACACGAGAACAAAAGAGAAAGGACAGGAGAAGTGCTAAAGAGAGAGACTGAATAATAAATGAAATACTGAAAGAGGAGGCATGTGTTGTTTTGAGATTGTTTGTCTCAGGGTTAGGATTGGTAAATGTGCGGCTGCTTCATCATCAGGCCACTTCAGTTCCACGATTCCTTTCGAGAATGCATGCCTTCGCTGATGATTTTGTCATGAAAGATGATTGAAGAATATGTGAGTTGGAGGAAATGAGACAGAGGCCATGTATTCCGTGTTTTGCAGTTGAAGATAAGTTAGAACTGAGCCCTAGCAGATAATGAACGCCGTACAATTGACTCATCTCTGTAACATGTGTACGTTATCACAGTTTATCTTGGAGTGCTGAAATATTTTTGTTGTCCTGAGTGAGTTCACCCAGATGTTATATGTGGTAGAATTTTCAGGGCCTGTTCTATTATGGACCTTGACTTGATTAGGTGTCTGCCTGTCCAGGCGTGCTCAATGAAACAGAAGACTAACAGTATATCCAACCCAGGTGTGCTAGAGGTAAAATTATGTCTTAACTGACTTCAACCATCAATTTATTCAGGCAGGTATTTCACCATTGCTTCAAAAGCAAGCAAGTACGTAGAATAGTTGTCCGAAAGGAATGTAAACAGTAATAGCAGTAATAACGAGAATATAGGATCTTGATTTTTTATTATTTGGCTAGAGGTACATGTGTCTTCACCAAATATCAGAGCATGAGTACGCACGGGTTTTACAGGGTACAAAAACAGTAAAAAACACAATCTTCTACTCCCTCTGTTTCTAAATATAAGGCTTTGTAGAAATTTCACTATGAACCACATATTAATGTATATAGATGCATTTTAGAGTGTAGATTTACTCATTTTGCTTTGTATGGAGTCCATTGTAGAATCTCCTTAAAGACTTATATTTAGGAATAGAGGGAGTAGCTCACTGTTAGATCTGTAATGTTTCATTCAACGGATCACATTGCACCTATGACGCTGAACCTAACGCTAAGAGCGACTCCAGCAGAGTTGCAATATGACCCTGATCACCACAATAATTATTAATATGATGATTTTAACTCAAAACAACACTCTAGCAGAGTCTACATATACCTCCCCATTTATGAAGCTCACTTCAAAAACGAGCTCATAGCCTTCAAATATGGAAGATGTGGAGGCCCTGCTTGGAGCTTGTTCCATATCCAATTGCAAACCCACGAGGGAAGTTTCAACTTCTTTCTCGTCGCGCCACAACTGGGTTTTAAAGTTGTTCCTGGTTCATGCACAAACAATCACCGGTGAGCCATGATGAATGTGACGACCAACCACCTGCACATTAATGGTCTCTACCACATCCTTTGATTCCCGGGGCAGCCGTTCGGATGGCCACGTGACTTCATCCCCAGCTATAAATGCCCCATGGCGAGGCGTCCTCATTATCAAAGCCCTAGCCATCTCCTCCCCTTCCATCTCCTCCAACATCCGGGACAATGCCGTTGAGCAAGAACGTAGCCTATTGGCTCACTCTAACGGCTGAGCGGAACCTCACGTCCTAGATACCGTGCACCGACGCGAACTCTCCCTGTGGCGCACTAGTCGTGGCAGCAGCGGGATCCTCCCCCCGCAGCGGCAACTTATCTGGCGGCGGCAGGGGATCCAACGCTTCATGTGGCACCGACGGCTCCATGAGTGGCTGATGGCGTAGAGCTTGCCCCCTTGTCCGAGTGGAGGAGGAGAAGGAGGACGATGACTCGAGGAGGATGTCCATGTCAGCCTCGCTGCCCCCCTCGTTCCAATGAACCCGCTGTACCAGTTGAGGCCAGCCGGACGCGGTGCTAGAGCTCGAGGATCTACTCGACGCCGTGATGTGGCTCTCCGCCCTCGAAGCTCGCAACAAGGAGCGCATCCAGTGACAACAACGGCAGCTCGCGGCTGCCACTCGTGAGTTAGGTCCCTACGCCTTCCTAGACTATCCCTTGGAGGAGGAGGAGGAGGAGGGCGATGACTAGATGGCGCCATCCACCGACTAGTGTTAGGTAGCTCTAGGTAGCCACACTGTATATTTTATTTAAAATATCATTAAAAGATTGTTCAAGCTGCTAACTATATACGTATAAAATAACCATTTTTGGCATTCAATATAGTTGCTAACAAGTTGAGTTACCGTGCTTAAATTGAGCTTAAATTGCCCCTACAAAATTGAAGAAATGGTAAAGAAAAGGAAAAAGAAAATAATTTTCTTATGGGACATCCAATTCGACTTCCGATAAGGAAACATGCTCGACATCTAATTCGACTTCCGATACACAACTGTATTCCTTCGCCGACTCTCACTAGAGACAGCAGCGGCAGGCGCCTCTGCCTACATTAACATCGACATTGCCTCTCTCGATCTCTCGTCCCGGTAATCAGAACCTGATCGTAGCCCTTTCCTTGCTTCTCGCCGCGAATTCACAGAGAACGAGCGAAACAAACGTGCGCGGCGATGGGGGCTTCGACATTCGACGAGCAGAAGGGCGCGGCGACATCGGCCGGTGACCGTGATGAAGCCTTTACGAGTCCCAGCCCCGGCGGCTTCGTCTCCTTCTCCGACAAGCTCCAAGGCGACCTGGACAAGATCGCGGCGGACGCGACCGACAAGGACGTCCTGCATGCCCTCGCGGAGCTCAGCGAGGCCGTCGGCAAGATGGCAACAACGGCGGCCGCGTCCGGCGAGCACGTCTTGCACCACTTGAACTCTGTAGCCACGGGCGAGCTCACCCGCGAGATCGACGAGGCCATCGAGTTGATCGCAGAGGCGGCCAAGGCAGGCGAAGCAGACTGGGTGATGGGCACCACGCGGTTGCTCATGGCCAGCGCCGAGGACATCACCCGCCACCTCACGGAGGCCATCGAGAAAGAGAAAGCAGCGACGGGCGCAGCCAGCGGTGGAGCAGTCTCGGGCGCCGGCGGGGTTGAAGATGAAGAACAGGCCGTGGACGGCGATGCTTCCTTGGACGCTCAGGTTCAGCAGAAGATGTACGAGGAGCAGGAGGAGGCCTTCGTGGACGAATTGGACTACCGCGACATGATCTTGGATGTTGACGAGGCCTTGGATGATTTGCGCCTGGAAGCGGCCGGCTGCAGCGGCGGTGACCGTGCACCGACGACAGGGTTTCTTGGTCGATATGATTTTTTCACACTGCAAGATTTCTTGAAGTTGGTTGGTTGATATGTACTCCGTATAAGAGACGCATATTGGATCTGCTGCAGCGTGGAAGAAATGTAGCACTAGGGGTAGCTAGTTGCAGAGGTTCCCCATGTACGTCCATGTAAGCGCGGGATCGGACAGACTGATCTGCAAGATTTTCTTATTAAGCTCGACGACGAATTAAGTGGATGCACTGCTGCACATTTCTTGCTACATCTACTCGTTCTTGGGAAATTAGTTGTGATAGTATTTCGTTAAGATTGGAACATATATATTTGGATTAATAATGCGAGAAGAGAAAATATATAGATGAGATTTACTGTATGTGATTATTATTATATAATAGCAGTTGCCAAATACGGACCCCTATAAAAAATGTTGTCAAATACGGAGTTTTAAAGAAAAACAGAGTTCTCGCAAAAAGTACCCGGAGTTTTATTTGATTAAACATAAGTAGCATAATAGTTTTCTGAATTGCATGTTGATGTACATCTTTTTCATATGTGGTTGCACGTTGAAATGACATGTTTACATGCTAAGAGAAATTTGTTAAGAAGAAAGGAATGACCTCCCCGCGCGTCAGCGAGGACAACCAAAAAAGAAAACCGAATGCGTGCACATAACTATTCCACCTGCGTTTAGTATGGCATCAAAAACTTTAAAAACTTGTAACTTTTGATTAGAATGTCAAAATTCAAATCCGTTTTCGCCGTTGGGTTTCTCGTGATGAGTTCTTCAAAACTAGATCCCATATGAGTAGGTTTCGACGAACTTTTTTTTTCCGAGCAACTTTGTGTGCTACGGAGACAACTTTAGTGCTATAGAAAAACAACTCCTCCCCCCCCCCTAGTATGACTACCTATCAACGGAGTATCCTTATAAGTTGGTTATCATGACTACCAATTAACTAGCTTCACCTCTAAATCGCTTACTATAAGGACAACTCCAACATGGATCACCAAAAACGCCTCAAATATTGGAATCGGCCTTTTAGACACTTTTAACCATCCAATGAGTCCAACTATTAGGCATGTAAAAAAAGGTCTGCTGCCCCTTATGAGTTCCTTGCAGTAAAAATAGCATGCATCCCCTATGCAAAAGTAAAAAACATGCACCAACTTTGCTATGATTTCAGACAACTCTTGTAAAATTTGAAGCAACTAGTGTCATGCACTAAAAGAGGGGTTGCTGCCCCATAAGCTCCTTGCAGTAACATCAGACAACCCTTGTGCAAAAAAAAAAAAAACGAACCACAAAAAGACAAGTAGAAACAACATATATATGTATGTTCCACCTGCTCCCCTCTACGGTCGCAGCAAGGGATCCCACCCGAGGAGAAGAAAATCTTGGCTCCCCCTCTATGACCCAAACTTAATTACAGGTATCTAAAACATTTAGACATTTACCAAAAAATGGTCTTCGTAAAATATTTCTGTTCGTGAGGATTGGGCAACTGGATACATGGTTTTAGGCAAACTATTTGTTGATTGTGGGCAACTGGATACTTTGTTTTAGGCAACTGTATGCTTGACTGTGGGCAACTGGATACTTTTTTAGGGCAACTTTGGGTGTGAAGGAGGCAACTATCGTGCTATAGAGAAGCGACTTCTTCTCTTTGGCCTAGTAGGACTTCCTATTAGGTTTGTTTGTGTAAAAACAAAAAAAATCACACAAAACATAAGGCCCCTTTAATGCTACATACAAAACAACTTCACCACACTATGTGTACCTGTGAATTTTACTAACATTATCCCAAGTTGCCTATCATGGTTGCTCATTTGCCTATTGTTTGATAGTCGGTTGCCTACAATTGATGTGCAGTTGCCTATAAATATTGTAAATAGCCTACCAA